TCCCACAAACAGTTGCGGATTGAGGGACCGATTGGGTTTGGGAGGGATTGTTAGCCAGGACACCGGGAGATGGCCTTAAAGGTGAGGACGAGGATCTTGAACTCGATCCTCTGGGGGATGGGGAGCCAGTGGAGTCTCGGGCGAGGGTGGGAGTGATGGGGTCACGGAGCCCGGTGCGCGAGAGTACACGAGCTGCAGAGTTTTGGATGATCTGCAGCTTGTTAGTCTCATCCGAAGGACGGCGTCTCCGACAGTGCGACACAACCCCCGCATTGTCGACCGTGTGATTGCAAGTCCTGACATGGGTTCAAAACCCACAACCTTCTGACTCAGAGGCGAGAGACGGAGCGCTACCGCTGAGCCAAGCTGACAGGCACATACACCCCGGCATACGCAGCAATACAAGCGTGGACAAGTCACGTTAAGAGCTTAAGAGAGAGAGAGAGAGAGAGAGCATCAGTGGTGACCTACTCAACCCGGGCGTGCCAACCCATTAGGGCTCTGTGTGTGGGGGTTAACAGCAGCTGAGTGGGAAGAACCCTTGTTAGCTCCCCTCACCCCCTTCCCTGAGTCCTGTAGCTCAGTGGTTAGCCCACTCGCCTCGCAAGCGAGACCCGAGTTCGATTCCCGGCTCCACACACACACACACACACACACACACACACGCCTCTGATTAAAAAGCAGTGAGTAGGAACCCGGTTATTAGTCGATTGGTGGGTGGCTTTTACGGGGATAATAATTCCTTCAAAATCCCTTAATGATAAATAATGTGGCCACTCGATTCACGACTGTTTGGGGGAAACGCCGCTGTGGGCAATTGGCTGCTGCGTTTCGCCCACAAAAATATTTACAATTGATTCACTTTGCAGTATATTCTGCGCAGAGCTTCGAGACGTCTCGAAGCCGCGATAAGGCGCTGTATCAAAAAAAAAGCAATTATTATTATTATTATTAGAGCAGGCTAAAGGAAGGCCTGAACTTTAACCTAGTTGGTTGCGAGCAATCGTGCTTGATACAGAAATGGATGCCATTTGCAGCCGGCAAGCTCCCCCTTTTGGGGTAGTCCGTTATTGTTTCTTGGAGAGCAACGAGGCTCATTGCCCCACTGTTCATTCATAGGAATGAGCTGCGAGCAACGATTAGGACAAGTGGGCGAGGGGGGTTTTAAATAGGATTTAAAAGCTTTTAAATAGGAATGAGAAAGTAAGCCCAGAGCAACTGTTTGTGGGGACGCTGCTGTGCGCAATTGGCTGCCGCGTTTCACCCACAGAATACACAGTCACTGCACTTTACGGTGTATCCCGTGAGGAGCTTCGAGACGTGATACGACGCCTTATCAACTTGCCGCGGCGTCTCAAAGCACTTCAGGGGAATCTTGCCGTGCAGTGCGGTGACCGCGTGTTTCGTGGGCGAAACGCGACGGCCATTGTGCACACCATCCACGGAGAAACCAAAAAAAACGTCCGACAAGGGAGAAGGGAATAGAAGAAAGCGGAGCCAACAAAAAAGTAAATGACATCAAACACTAAAATTATAATTGCGTGCGGTTGGGAGTGAGCAATAAGGCTGCAATTGGCACATGGGGTTCAGATGATTTTATAAACCATGAGAGAGGGAGAAGCTCGAGTTATTTATGAACGTTATATGAACGGAGAGATTAAATTACACCCTTATTTACAGAGCTCTGTCCTTTTCACATCCTGTGGTCTCGGTAACTGCAGGATCAATTCCGAGCTAAAAGTAGCATTGGAGATCGAGGGGCGACTGAGATGACGCTGTGTAAATGGGCCGAGTCATTGGGAGGGTGGAGTGAGCAGTAACAAGAAGCTTCAGCCATGGTCTCGGCTGATGCTCCATCCTCGAAAAGGGAGTTTCTCCCAGTCGGTGCCCTGGCTGACAATAAACCCCCGAGGACCCCCCCACCCCAACCCCACCACCCACCCACCCCACCCTCACCTTTTTCTCCGCAACAGATAAAATCGATCGCTCGCTTCACAACTGTTTGACGGACGGTTGCCGCGCTGGCTCAGCGAAACACACAGCCACTAGCGTTTCAGTGAATCCCGTCAGACGCTCTGAGGCGGAGGGCGCTGTACACGTGCAAAGTTGTTGTGGTGGCGGTTGTCGGATGACGCGATAAGGCGCTGTACAAAATGCAAGGATTGCCAATGTATCTGCCACTCCCTCAGCGACAACTTTATACAGCGCTTATATATTATATACCGCCCCTCACCCAGGGTAGCGTTCCCCCCCCCCCCCCCGTCTGCCTTCATGTCCTGCCTTAAAAACCTCCCCTTTCCCCCGCCTCCCGCGTCCGTCCCCGCCTCTGTAAATAAATGCACGTTATTATTGCTGTTGTACGTTTGCCCCCCTCCCTCCCTCCCCCACCCCCACCCCTTCCGAAGCTAACACCTCCTCGCCCGCTCGTCCTGGTGTTAACACGAACAGTCCGTCTCTCCATCAAAGCTGTTTTTGGACGTGAATTTAGCTCCCTCTGCTGCAAGCAAGAGCTACAGTCTGCTGTCTGCATTGAGTGACCATTTTCTTTGGAGAGATTACCCCTGGAAAAGCCATCCCCCAATCGACTGACAACCGGGTTCCTACTAACTGCTGGTAAACAGAGGCGTGCGTGTGGAGTAGGGAAACTTGCCCAACGTTTCCCCCTCCCCTGCCTGGGAATCGAACCCCGGTTCCTCTCACTTGCGAGGCGAGTCCCCTGACCACTGAGATACAGGACTCCTCTTCGACAGTGCCTTCGATCACCTTCCTGCCCCTACCTTCCCCGCTCTCCACCCCTCCTGATCCCAACCACCAGCTCGCGTGTGGATCCCTGACTGCCCAGCGTCTTGGGACGTCCTCCTGACGTGAAAGGCGCCGTGTAAATGTGATTTGTTGTTGTTGTAATGGGAAGCTTGACACTGAGGAGTTGGCAGGGAATCAGGAACTATCTGCTCTCTGTCTAGTGATGGCGAAGGACATTGCATGCCTGGGGCTTAGCTCTTTAGATCAACCTCAGAAAGACATGCTCAGGTCACCGTGAGCCTCATCTGTCTTGCCTGCGGGGGGGAGAAAGCTAGCAGCTTGCAATGAAGTTAAAAGCATGAGCAAATGAGAGGTCAAGCGCATAAAGCAAAGTGACAGATCCGAGGAGACTCAGCAATTGAAATGGGGAGGAACAGGACCTTCCAGTTGACTTGGAAAAGGCATCGCCATTGAATAATAATAATAATCCTTGCATTTGATATAGCGCCTTATAGCATCTCAAAGCGCCTCACAGAATATACTGTAGAGTGGAGTGACTGTGTATTTTGTGGGCGAAACACGGCAGCCAATTAGGCACAGCAGCGTCCCCACAAACAGTCATGGATTGAGTGACCACATTTTTTAAAGGGTTATTAAAGGGTTAGTCAGTTGGTGAAAAGCCATTCACCAACTGACTAACAACCGGGCTCCTACTTACTGCTCGGTATACAGACACGTGGAGTAAGGAAACTTGCCTGAAGCGGTTCTGCAAAAGTGTCATCATTGACTATGGTGCTAGGAACATAGGAACAGGAGGAGGCCGTTCAGCCCCTCGAGCCTGTTCTGCCATTCTATTAGATGCTGGGATGATCTGGTACCTCCAATCCACATTAAAGTTGTGGTACAGATCAGCCATGATCTAATAGTACGCTGGAGATCAAAAGGAAGTAAAACTGTTTTAGAGATCGAAAGAGAGAAAACTGTGCGTGTGAGGAATTCACGCAGTCATTCTCTGCCCTGGAGCGATGGGCTGACCGAATCCTTACCCAACGATGTTGGCTGGGATTATGAACGTGCTACGTGAAAGAGTTTAGCTGCAATTCCTTCCCAAACTCCATGGCAACAGGTCCTACAATACATTACTGTACTTGGAATGTGATTCTCTTGTTGACCCAACAATGGAGAAAAATTTGGAACCAAGTTGGAAAGGACAGAAGTCGTCTGCAACACTTTATTACTCAGTAAACGCCAATCGCCCAGTGAGTTATAATAATAATAATAATCCTTGCATTTGATACGGCGCCTTGTCACTTCTTCGAGACGTCTCAAAGCGCTTCACAGGATGCACCGTTAAGTGAATTGACAGTACGTTTTGCGGGCGAAACACGGCAGATAATTGCGCAGAGAGGTGTCCCACAAACACCCGTGGATTGAGAGACAAAAATCATTATTATTTTATTTATTTATAAGCAATTATTACCCCTGGAAAGCGATCCGCACAAGGACAGCCCTTTTGGAAATCCAACAGAAACGCCCTTCGGTTCATATCGACCGATCTCAGGTACAGTGAAATCCTTGCTTAATGAGGTGCGAGGGACCTATTTTGATCTTGATGACAACATGGCCTCTTGCAGTGAGTTGTAGAATGATCTCATGGGTCTAAGGAGCCTTCTTCAACCCAATTGACCTTGTGAGCTCATGAGATTTGGGGATTGTGATTGAAAAAAAGACCAACTAGGTGGCCAGAATGTGAAGCTCCCCAGCACAATATGAACGGTATTGATGCAGGACTCAGAGAGAGAGAAAACTTTTGTTCCAGACTGCAACAACAGCAACAATAATCTTTGCATTTGATACAGCGGAATTCACACTGGGTTTGGGGGGGGGGGAGGGGGTTCAAAACATTTCGCAGGACGAATCTTGAGATGCAGTGCACGTGTGTTGGTTTTTGGATCAATTCAAATTCAGACCGCTCAAACGGAGGAACAGGAGGAAGCCATTCAGCCCCTCGAGTCTGTTCCGCCAAAGGCTAGAGATCTGGAACTCTCTCTCCCTCCCCGAAAAGGCTGCGGATTATGGCTGGATCCATTCGCATTTCCAAGCCTGAGGCGGAAAGATGTTTGTTAGGTCAGGGGATCAAGCGGTACGGGCCAAAGGCGAGTAAATGGGGTTGAGGTTCAGATCAGCCTCTATCTAATAGAATGGTGGAACAGGCTCGAGGAGCTGAATGGCCTCCTCGTGTTCCTACGTCCCTGGGCGTTTGGTGGCCGAACACAGCGATCAAGTCTTCAGGGCTTCTTGCACCCCAAATGCAGAGAGTCTGCGGTTGATGTTTCTGTACCTGCACCTGAGCAAGTCCTTGTACGTTGACCTGAGTCCCCGGTTGAAGAAGGCGTAAATGAAGGGGTTCATCAGGGAGTTGGCGTAGCCGAGCCACAGCAGAGTTCTCTCGAGCCACACGGGGACACAGCTCCTCTCGACCCCACACACGAACGGCCTGGCGGTGGAAAGGATGAAGAAGGGCAGCCAGCAGACAGAGAAGACGCCCACCATGATTCCCAACGTGATGGCAGCTTTCTCCTCCCGCTTGAAGATGGACACGTTCCTCTTGTTGCCACCAGCGAGCTGCGAGACAGCCTCGGGTCTCTTCAACCCCTGCATCCTCAAGTCTTGGCTTATGCCCAGATCCTTCCGTTTGGGCAAGCAGGCAAAGCGGTGCCTGGCCAAACTCCTTTTAGCCGCCCGGAAGATTTTGTAGTACATGATCAACATGACCGCCATGGGGATGTAGAAGGCCACTGCCGTGGAATAGACGGTGTAGCCGAAGTCCTGGCTGATGAGACAGACCAGGTTCTCGTTAACGTTCTTGGCCAAGCCGAAGAGGGGAGGCAGAGTGATGGAGGCTGAGGACAGCCACACACCCCCGATCATCTTCGCCATCAGCTTCCCGTTCTGCCGGGCCGGGTAGGTGAGCGGATTGGTTATACCCAGGTATCTGCCGAGCAAGAGAATAACTGGCGTAAGACCAGTGACCAAAAGCATAATAATAATCCTTGCATTTGATACAGCGCCTTATCAAGTCTTCGAGACGACTCAAAGTGTAGTGACTGTAGATTTTGTGGGCGAAACGCAGCAGCCAATTGCCCACAGCAGCGTCCCCACAAACAGTCGTGGATTAAGTGACCAATTTCTTTTGGAAGGAATTATTACCCCCGGAAAAGCAATCCGCCAATCGTGGAAGGGTGGCCAAAAGCATGGTCAAAGAAGAAGGTCTTTAGACGGGACTTGAAAGAGGCAATAGAGGAGGTGAGGGGGAGGGATTGCGGGATCGAGTTCCGGAAAGAAACTGGAGCTCAGCAAAGCATAAGATTAAGCAGAAAATAAGGAAGTTCAGGTTTCAATATGAGGCTATTGGCTTAATTCACAATGCAGCAAAGAAAACCTTTCATCTTTAGAATTGCTAAACTCGTGGAGATTAAGGGGATTTAAGGTTGAATTTTTAAACTTGTTTATTGTACTATCACAAACGGTAAATGACGCTGGATCCCTTAACAGTCTTAAATAACCGTTGAAATAATCGCTGCTCAAAATTCTCCTCCCACCTAAAAAAAAATGTTATGTTAAAAACATGGAGCAAGAGAAAAAGACACAACTTGTATTTGATGCTATTGACTCAAAGTGCATTAAGTGTATATATATTTGTTAGCAAATGCTGCAGCCTTTAACACACAGCAGGCTCCCAACAACTGGCATAAAGTGGCATAAATTGCTGATCCGATCCAAGTTAAATGGAGCTACAGTGTAGTCCTGTAACTCAGTGGCTGGAGAGAGGACCCAGGTTTGATTTCCGGGCAGGGCGAAACCTTAGACAGGTTTCCTTACTCCACACGCCTTACGTAGCAGTAAGAAGGAACCCAGTTGTTAGTCGATTGGCGGATCGCTTTACGGGGGTAATAATCTCTCTCACACAAAAAAAAATCAATCACTCAATCCACGACTGTTTACAGGACACTGCTTTGCGCAATTAGCTGCCGTGTTTCACCTACAAAATGCGCAGTTTACAGTATTTCCTGTGAAGCTCTTTGAGTGACCTGATAAGGCGCAATGTCCAAAAAAAGCAAAGATTCTTATAATATTATTCTGATATTAATTATTAAAATCCAATACAAAAAGTTGCAAGTTGTTGTTGAAAAGGCGAAGGGGCACCATGTCGGACAGGACGATGGGTCTATAGAGGAGAAAAAAATCAAGAGATTGTCCTTGAGTAACACAAACCATGGGTTTCAATTGCTTTAAGAATAAGATGGGGACTGGGACTTGAGGAGTTCCTGGCTTGTGATTTGGGTTAGACGTTGGGACGTCCTCCCGACGTGAAAGGCGCTATACAAATGTAATCTTGTTGTTGTTCTTGTTGAAGACAGTGACCAGGATTTTGACCTTAACATTGAGGCAGGAGAATAGTGTCTATACTAACGATGCGGTCGATGCTGGGACCACCCAGACAAGCACAGTAATTACTGGGCTATGCCTCACAATTGATCACCAGCTACAACACAAATGCACACACAGTGTTATTGTTAATACATTAACACACGTAAAGCGCTATTGCTAACTGTTAGCACATAGAATTTTAATCATCCTTGCCCTCCATATAGCGCCTTATCACACCTTACCTTACTTTCAACACAATAAAATAATAATAATTTGTCACTCGACATGACTGTTTGTGGGACGCTGCTGTGCGCAATTGGCTGCCGCGTTTCGCCCACAAAATGTACAGTCACTACACTTTACAGTAAATTCTGTGAAGCGCTTTGAGACGTCTCGAAGATGTGATAAGGCGCTGCGTGAAATGCTTCACAGAATATACTGTAAAATGAATTGACTGTGTATCTTGTGGTCAAAACATGTTAGCCCTTGCTCTGCTCAAACCTCTGCTAGTCCTTGACTGCCACATTTGCTTATGCCTATTACAACTGACAGTGTTATAGACCCTTGAGATATTTCAGCATTGCAGGTTCTGTATCAAAGATAAGAGTATGTTATATGTATAAGAAACTCCAGTATAGAGCATAGAAAATCAATTATGTCAATCCTAACCTTATTCCACTGTGATACCAGTTTAGCAAACAGCGGGAATAATCTTTCCCCATTTACCCTGTCAGACCCTTAAAGCATTGTGAAGGCACCTATTACTATCCACTCTGTTTCACTGAAATGTTGTGATCGCAAACTAACAGCTACTGCAGATGAGCTCTCTCTCTCTCGCTCTGCTATCTTGTCTTTTGAGCATTCAGCAGAGAAATTTTATTAAACTCAGGTACTTCATGAGAAGTACCGGGATTAATAGTGTTAATCTGCGTTGATGGTTGAACCAAATGTGTCTTATTGATGGGAGCACAGAACATCTGGATTGCAGTACTGTTGTGAGTGGTGGGAACTCATTCTGGTTGACCTGAAGCCATTAGGAAGCTTTCCACGGAGATAATGACTCCATTCAGCCAAACGTCCATCAAGTCCGAATAGCAGAGCGCTTCAAGCACAGGAGGAAAAAGAAGGCCATTTCTGGCACGGTATCTCTGTCTTGCTGTGTTGGCAAGAGACTCAGAAGTGAAATGATAATGAATGGCCCTGGGAAATGAATGTATTCTAGGAACATCCTAACATGTGGTTAGAGCACTCCCTCGCAAGCGAGAGGACGTGGGTTCGATTCCCATGCAGGCAGGGTGAAACGTTGAGCTAATTTCCTTACTCCACACACAACCTTCCGTTCACCTAGCAGCGAGAATAGGAGCTCGCTTATTAGTTGATTAGTGGCTCGCTTTTCCGGGAGTAATAATTCCTTTTTAAAAAAAAACTAACTTAGTCCCTCGATCCACGACTGTCTGCGTGGACACTGCTGTGTGCAATTGGCTGCCGCGTTCCGCCCTTAAAACACAATACAGTTTACAGTGGCTTCTGTGAAGCGCTTTGAGACGTCTCAAAGACGTATTAAGGCGCTGTATCAAATGCAAGCGTTACGGAATTTATTGCGGATCTCTTACCTGTCCACGCTGATCACACACAGGGTCATGATGGAGGCCGTACAACAGGTGACATCCATGGAGATGAATATGTTACAGAAAATCCTCCCAAACAGCCACCGGCCCCCGGTCAGGTCGGTCACGATAACGAAAGGCATGACAGCAGTGGCCACCGACAGATCAGCCACGGCCAACGACACCAGCAGGTAGTTGGAGGGCTGTCTGAGTTTCTTGACCACGCACACGGAAATCACCAGCAGAGTGTTGCCCATCACCGTGCCAGCCACGATGAGGCTCAGGACTATCCCAATGAGCACTTTCTCCGAGCCGCTGAAGTTATGGTTCTTCAACCCATCTTGGTCGCGCTCTCCGCTGTCGCTGCTGTTGTCAGGATAAAATCTCAACGCTTCCATCTCCATATCCTCAAGGTGAAGATCCCAGGAACCAGAGGACATATCTCGTCTCCGACGCCACAGTTCAAGGAGGGCGCTGGAAGGGAAGTTTCCCCTTGGGATACACTGGCCCCATGGAACTGACATGAAATGGACAAACTTGTCCAATTCACGGAGCCAGAAAGGGACAGAGAGGGAGAGAGGTGTGGAGGGCGAGAGAGAAAAACATAACACAGAACACAAATACACAGGAGGCTGAAATTGGCCAAATAACTGCATCAAATTCACACCATATATATATACACACACACCTAGATACCAAACATATAACAGGAACTACAATTGACAAGGTCGTTGCAGCATTATTCAAGACGCTCAGACTTTGAATAGAGGGAGAGAGAGAGAGAGAGACAACAACAAATTACATTTGTATAGCGTCTTTCACGTCAGGAAGAGAGAGATAGAGAGGGAAAGAGTGACAGAGAGGGACGCGCATACACACACACACACACACACACTGAGTGAGCAGGAAAGACAAACGGATCTTTGAAAAGCCCGACAACGAGACTGCAAGTCTTTTTTTCAAAAAAAAAACAAAGTGGACGTCATGAGCTGTTTCAGTGTGTGTCAGATGCACTTGAGCAGATAAAGCAAAGCCAAGCGATCACTTGTTTCAGAGGAGCTTCAGGCAGCAAGCGATGGAGTCGAGCGAGTGGAAAGTCATTGCACTTTGCCTGCCTGCCTGCCTGCCTGCCATGCCAGGCTCAGCTCCTTCACATTTTGGGATGAACGCTATTCAACACACCGCAAGCCAAGCTAACTAACTCCTTGTGGCCCGGTTGGTCCCTTTAACACTCGAGCACCAAACTGGCTCCTCTTGCTGCTCCTCGCTCACCATCTGTTTCAGTCGAGTTTGTCATTTGTTCGGTTCGAAAATAACACTTGCAAAACGCCCTCTGCTCACATCCAAAACGTGCATTTCCTTAAAAATATCACACGTACACATAACCTGACAATACTTCCTCTTCCCACAAATAAAATAGGTCGTTCACTTCATGGCTATTTGCGGGGACATCACTGTGCGCATATTGGTTGCCGCGTTTCTCCTACAATTACCCAGTCACTGCACCACACAGTAAATGCGATGCGCTTTGAGACATCCTCCAAAAGGCCCCAGACAGTAACAACAACAACGAGTGACATTTACACGGCGCCTTTCACGTCCGGAGGACATCCCACGGTGCTGGACAGTCAGGGATCCACACCCGAGCTGGTGGTTGGTATCAGAGTGGGATGGAGGACGGGGAAGGTAGGGGTAGGAGGGTGACTGAAGGCAAGGTCGGAAAAGAAGGTCTTGAGACAGGACTGGAAGGAGGCAATGGAGGGGCTGAGGCAGAGGGACTCAAGGATGGAGTTCCACAGGATGGAGGAGCAGAAAGGCGGAAGGCCCGACTGCCGATAGTGGAGAGGGCAGGGCAGGGGTCGTGGAGCTTGCCAGTGCTTGCAGAGCGGAAGGAGCGGGCAGGTTGGTGAAACTTGAATAGGTGGCAGAGGTAGGGAGGAGTACGGCCATGGGGGGGCTTTAAAGATAACTGTAAAGGTAACTACATAACGGCAAGCGAACTGCAATCCTGTGAACGGAGAGGCGATAGCCTTGAGTTCGAAAGAAATTATGACAGCAACAATAATCATTGCATTTGATATAGCGCCTTATCACGTCGTCGAGACTTCTTAAAGCACTTCACAGCATGCACTGTATAGTGTAGCGACTGTGTGTTTTGTGGGCAAAACTCGGCAGCCAATTGTGCACAGCGACGTCCCACAAACAGTCGTGGATTGCGTGACCAAATTATTATTACTAAGCACCTTAGCACAGCCCATAAACCCGTCTCCCAACGCTGCAACACACAACACCCTATTAAAACCTCTCAGACGCACAGACTGATTTGGGTGAATGATTTCATTTCAGGTGAGGGGACTGTGTCTTTAAGGGCTGAGTTTGTAAAAGTGTAGAACGAGAGACAGCGATGAATAAACTCGGATCTAAGAGGAAGGGAAATCTGATTAGTTCTGCTGTCCCTCAGAGAGGGAGCCTGAGAATATAGGCAAAGAAAATAGGTCAGACTCCCAAACCCTCAAACACCGGATGCTCTCACGAAATGTTGTTCCCCTTCGTGCTTGTTTTATTCATGAACACGATTGAATGGAACACGGAGCTGAAACCCAGGTCTCTGCGCGGCTCTCTGCGTGCGTGTTTTTTTTATATATAAAGTCAGCCGGGTGTCTGACACACGCGGAAACCCATCTCCGTGCTTAAGAGTCTCCAGATCAAACTGAGAATTCCTTGCGTCCCACCTACACCTAGGCGTAGGAGGGAACCCGCGGTTGTTAGCTGATTGGCGGAATGCTTTCCGAGGGTAATAATCCCTCCAAAAAAAAACAAAAAAACATTTGGTCACTCAGTCCGCGACCGTTTGTGGGACACTGCCGTATGCAATTGGCTGCCACAAAACGCACAGTCACCACACTTTCCAGTATAGTGCTTTGAGCGCGAGATGGACAATTTTAACTGCAGAAAGGGGGGGGGGGGGTGGTGGGTGTGTGGGCACCATCTGCTGCTCTCTGCCTAATTTTCTATCGTTGTGTTTGATCACAGAATCAGTGGATCCTCAGTGGAAGCGACCATTAATATTGCAGAGTTAATGTAATCTTATCCTGAATTATTTATCTTAATAACCTTAAACTGGCTGCTGCGTTCTGCCCACAAAATGCAGAGTATACTGTAAATTGTAGTGACTGCGTATTTTGTAAGGTAAAACACGGCAGCCAAATTGCGCCCAGCTGAGCCCCCACAAACAGCTGTGAACCGACCGACCGATTTATTTGTCGAGTTGTCAAATTTCAGTTGGGCATAAAGATTTTGGTTCGACTCCAAACTCAGTCACAGAGAACGGGACTGCCATTACAACAATTTGTGCACTCTGTCAAATATGGACACGAAGATAAGGGTTGACTTGAGCCAGAACTAAATATAGCAAGCACTTTAAAACTGAAGCTGGCTGCTTCCGGAGTAAAGAGAGAAAGTACTTTATTCCTTATCAGCCTGATTGACCTCTGATATCAGTTATTATATTCATTCACAAATGCACACTCTGGAACAGCGATAGAGCCCTTTTGTGCGACGGTCTATGACATTAATGCTGTTCTAATGTGAAGTATCCCAACTTCTAACTCATACACCCAATCTTCCTGCTCAGAATCAAGCACTCACACCACCCAATAATGGGCCAGAAAGTGACAGATTCCCGCCCCACTTTGAGGAGTTGAGTCATCCATCCTAATCATAATAATAATCCCTGCATTTGATATAGTGCCTTATCACGTCTCAAAGGGATCCACAGAATATACTGTAAAGTACAGTGACCGTGTATTTTGTGGGCGAAACGCGGCAGCCAATTTAGTGACCAAATTATGATTTTTTGTTAAAAAAGGGGATTATTGCCTCCGGAAAATCGATCCGACAATCGACTAACAACTAGTAGGTTCCTACTACTGCTGGGTAAACAGAGGCGCGTGTGTGGAGTAAGGAAAATGTTTCGCCCTGCCCGCCCGGGAATTGAACCCGGGTCCTCTCGCTTGGGAGGCGAGTGCTCTAACCACTGAGCGACAGGACTCCACAGAAGCTGCCACACTGCGTGGACCCCACGTTCAATACTCAACCGCGGGCTGTGGAAGCAGCAAATGTGAATCAGGATGTTGAGAGCAAAGAACAGCACCATTTGCAACCATGAGACATGCTAGGCTGGGGGAACTCTTCGGTCTTGAGAGAAGGGAGAAGGTGACCGTAAGCGTGGTCGAAGAGGAAGGTTCGCACTCGTGATCTAAAAGAGGGGAAGGAGGGGCCAAGGCAGAGGGATTGGGGGAAGAGAGTTCCAAACCTTCGGAGCGTAGTGGCTGGCGATGGTGGAGCGGAGGGGATGAGAGACCAGCTGGAGGCTAGAGCCAGATTTTAAGTCAACATCCCAACTAGGCTGTTGTGTAAAACAGAGACGGTAAAACACCATTCCGCTCCCAACAAGCACGACCGCAAAGTTCACGTCAGAGCTACGTTTATTTCACACCTTTAGACAGTCCCTTACAGTACAGCAAATCACCCCACTAGACACACGTACATCCACACCACAAAGCACAAGTCGCGTTTAATACAAAGCGTACAATCGCAAAGGAAACGTGAGCTCAATCTCAGCTCCTCATCGCTCCCCGCTCAGCTTTCGTTCATCAGGCCGATAGCAGTAGTGTTCGGTTTTGTTGCTGATTCCAAATGGCTGTGGTTTCACCTCCCCTCCCTCCCTAAAGCCCTACCTTAAGGGCTGATCAATAAAGCAATGAGTGACCCAGATAAAGAACCATACCCTGACCTTAAGAACATAAGAATTTGCTAGATGAAAGAAGACCAAAGGTCCATCCAATTCACCTTCCACCATCCCGGCAGTCGCTTGACACGTTGTGTCTCAAACTACAGTATATACTGTAATCCGTGGAAGAGGGTTGGTTCATTGTTAATACCCAAAGAGCTCAAAACTTGCAACTACAACATATGACAAGCAATAGGGGTTTTGATAGAGTAGATAAACTGTTTCCTCTGGCGGGCGGGTGGGTCATTAATCAGAGGACACAGGTTTAAGATAATTGGCAAAAGAACCTGAGGGGAAGACGGGGAGAAGTTTTTTTTTACTTTAGAGAGTTGTTACCATCTGGAATGCACCGCCTGGAAGCAGATTTAATGATAGCTTTCAAGAAGGAATTGGATAGGTTATAGGCTAAGAACTGGGCGAGTGGAACTAGTTGGTAGCTCTTTCAAAGAGCCAGCAGATTTACTCTGCCTCCCATATGCAAGTTATTATGGCTTCACTCTTCCTGGGAAGCCGAATGCCCTTGCAATCCAACAATTGGAAAACCGCTTATCACGGCATTACTGTATTATGAAAATCAGAGGGAAGGTAGAGCTAAACTGGACCGATGCCAACAATCCAGTCTTCCCATTACGTCTTGCAAAAAAAGTAAGTTGATTTGGTTGGTGCAAACCCCTGTATTCCTGTCCACACTCTCTCACACACACCATCGCTGATGTAATCCACGCTTTCTTTGGACTCTCATAAGGAACTAAACACACTTTACCACACTAGTCCCTCTCACCATCTACTCTCTC